TGTTGATAAAAGTGAAGAACCTTCAAATGACAACGTTCATATAAAAAAGAAAAAAGAATTTAAATATTGTAAAAAATAACTTTTCGGTTGATTGCAATCAATTTTGATAATACCAATTTTTTACATATAATTACTTATAATAGACCAATGGAAGTATAAAAGATTCTTTATAATATCTATGAAAGTAGAAATCTTATCCATATTCTATAGATAAAAAAGAAGTTCTTCGTCGTATAGATAGAAGAAGAAAATAACCTCATAGTTCATGTTAATAAAGTAAAAGTACTTGCAAAATAACTAGCAATTATTGACAAGCCTGTTGAAAATTATGACATTTTGATGACATTGCTTATAAACCTTCCAAAGTCCTATAACTACCTTATTATAGCATTGAAGTCCATCAAGATTAGAGAACTCACATTAGATTATGTCACATTAAGTCTTACTTATGAAGTGAACAAGAAGAAAGAAAAAGAGCTTCAAAATAAAGATTTGGCTTTAATTTCAAGATAAGGCAAAATTATCTATTTTAATCAATATGATAATACAAGAATCAATATAAGAAATTTCTATATTTATAAAAAATTAGATTACTTTGCAAAAAAATACTACAAAATTAAAAAAAGAAATATGAAGAATGCAAGGAATGCTTGTAATAACTTTAGAAGAGATGATTATTCTTTCATGGCAAATTAAAGAGCCTCCATGGTTGCCATGTTTAAGTGGATTATAGATTTGGGTGGTACTAAGGATATGACACCATATAAATATTTATTTAATACTTATGAAATAATTTCAGCAATAAAAATTTGGTTAAGAGACAATGGTATGGTGCAAGCTATTAGAATTGGCTCCATTGTGGTAGAAATTGTTGTAAAGGACCAAATCAAGAAGATTAGATTAAAAGAAGTCTTACATATATCAAAGATAATTTTTTTTTTTTTTTTTTTTGATAAGCTAACTTGTATCACATAGTTATAAGGTTCAATTTTATATGAATGGATATTTTGTGAAGACCTTAAGTAGAAAAGATGTTGCAAAAGGCTTTAAAAATGGCAACCTTTACTTCATCATTTATAAAAAGATCAATGAAATTGAAGAGGTTGCATTTACTAAGTTTTTATAAGATCAAGAGAAGTTTAAAAATTGGCATTGACGACTTGGTTATTTATATGTCAAAAGCATGAAAAAATCTAATCTAGGTAATTGGAGGAGTAAGATATTTTGTCACATTTATTCATGAGTTTTTAAGAAAGGTGTAGATTTACATTATTAAAGCTAAGAGTAAATATTTCTCAAGATTTAAAAAATTTAAGGCTCTTGTAGAGAAGCAATGTAAGTACAAGATCAAAGTGATGTGTATAGAAAATGGAGGTGAATATATATTAAAGAATTTTGATGAATTTTTAAAGATTTAAGATATTATAAGAAAAAAATCTACTCTTTATATTCTACAAAAAAATAGAATTACTAAATAATCAAATTACACTGTTGTAGAAATTGTAAAGAATATGCTTCATGTAGAAAATCTTGGACATAAATTTTAGATGAAAGTCATAGTAAATGCAATGTATACAAGAAATAGATACCTTGTAAGTGAATTTATATCAATGATTCTACAAGAAGCTTGGAATGGGATAAAACCTTATATTTCATATATGAAGATTTTTGAATGTATTGCATATGCAAAGATATCAAATTATATGAAGTCCAAACTTGATGCAAAATATATAAAATGTAAGTTTGTTGGATATTGTGAATGAAATAAGACTAAATACTCTAAGATCTAAAATCTTACCAAATCCATAACAACAAAGATTTCAACATAATATAAGACCAAGTATACTAGAATAAAACTAAAAGTAATTAAACGAAATAGAATATGAAAGACAAGACTGAGTAAAAAAAATAGAATAAAAAAAATCAAATAGAATAGGAAAAGAAAATCAAACTTTAATGAGAGAAAGAGTCAGAAGCCATACTTGACTGAATGCTCCAAATAACGTCAATTAGTCTTATTTATACTTTATTCAATTATCCTTGAATTTTTTAGAATATTCCTAATTGTAAGCTTAACCAAGGTAACTACCTTTTTAGAAGATTCTAGAGGTAGGTTCCATCATGATAAGCACCTTAAATCTTTTTAGAAGATTCTATAGTGGATCCCACATGAATCACTATTTTAACCTCAATTTTAGAAGCTTCTCAAAAATGTCTCCAATTACATATCTTTATGTGCAAATAATACAACCATCCTATCCATGCCCTATTATAGTGAAGGTACTAAGGCATATTGGAAACCAAAAAGATCATTAAAAATTATAATATAGAATTTTTGGAACATAAAAATACTTGTGAGCACTTGAAGATGTATCCGAGTAGAAGTAATAGTGTGTTTGTGGATATGTCTTTAATTCCAATAAAGAAAAAAGAAGAAGATGATGATGATAATAAAAATGATGGAAATACAAATAAAAATGAAGAGCCAAAGAAGACAGACCAAAGTATGTCTATAATTCTTAGAAGTAGCAATGAAAACAATTAAGATGTTGAAGATGATGATGATGAAGAATACCAACTATTAAATATAAAGAGATAAGTTATAAGAAAAAAAAAACTTGCAAAAACCTTGAAGTACTTGAAGGTGAATCTTTATCAAATGAAAAGAGATATCTTTTAAGAGAAAGAAAAAAACTTAGTGAATGATGGAAGAACCATATATTTCTTCAAAGAAGTGAAGAACATATCAATGTTGTACTTTTTATTGATCCATTGAATTTGTGTGATGCAATGAAGTCCATGGATGCTTTGAAATAAGAGAAAGCTATGGACGAAGAATACAAATCTCTCATAGACAATAAAACATGGGAATTGACTCAACTTCCATCAAATTGATCTTTAATTGGTTGTAAGTAGGTGTTTAAAAATAAGAGGGGTGTAATAAATAATATTGTGAGATATAAGGCTAGATTAGTTGCTAAAGACTACTCAAAAGTTGATGATGTTGATTTCAATGAAATATTTGCCAATGTGGCCAAATTCACTTCTATTAAAACCATTGTGGCAATTGGAGCAGTGATGGACTTGAAGATGCATCAAATATACGTAAAAATGGCTTACTTGAATTAAAAATTGGAAGAAGACATTTTTATGGATCAACTTTTAGGATTTGTTGAAGAAGAAAAATAACACCTTGTTTGTAAGTTAAAAAAATCATTGCATAGGCTCAAGCAATCACAAGGAATATGGTCCCAATATACTGACACATTCTTTAAGAATAAAAGATTTTTAAGGAGTGAAGCTCATTATTCTATATATGTGATGTAATCAAATGAACTTATATTGATTGTTATACTCTATATTGATAATTTCATTATCTTAACCAATACTTTGATGATGATGGATTGGTTGAACATAAAGTTAAATAAAGAATATGAGATGAGTGATTTGAAAGAACTTTACTATTATTTAAGAGTGGAATTTGTGAAAGATCATGGTAACATGACCATTACAATGAGCCAAAGTAAATACATTAAAGAAGTGTTGAAATGATTCAATATGGAAGAATGTAAGTCCATTAAAATATCTTTAGATGCCAATTTATAGTTGATGAAGCTTAGAAATTATAATTTTATTAAAGTTGAAGATTAAATATAAAAATTTTCATACAAAATAGCAATAAGTTTATTTATGTATACAATGGTTGGCACAAGGGTGGATATTCCATATGCAATAAGAACTTGAGCCAACAAATGTCAAAGACTAGACCAATCCATTAGACAACCATAAAAAAAATCATGAAATACTTAAAAGATATTTTGTAATTCAAATTATATCTTAGAGGTAATAAAATTTTATTATATAATTATTGTAATGCAGATTGGGCTAGAGATACAAATAATATAAAGTCAAGAATAAGCTATATGTTTTTTTATTGTAATGGAAGTTATTTCATGGAATTGCAAGAAGCAATCAATAATTATAAGATCTATAATGGTAGCAGAATACATGATAGTAAGCCATGGTACAATAGAGTTAATATAGCTAAAATAACTTTTGTATGACATTAATATTGTATAATAAGAAGCAACTCCAATAAAGTGTGACAATCAAAGATATCTTGTATTTGCAAAAAATTCAAAGTATTATTCAAGGATCAAATACATTGACATTCAACATTACTTTATTAGAAAAAAGATTAAAATAAAATTGATTGACATAAAGTATTATACAAAAAAAGACATATTTTCTAATTTGTTGACAAAGGTATTACTGAAGAATAGACATCACATATTAACAAAGGCATTAGGATACAAAGGTATTACTAATAGCAAAGTGGAAGTATTAAAATAAAATTATATATATATATATATATATATATATATATATCTTGTAGAAGTTATTAGCTTAAATAATTTATTAATGGTCAAAGAATTGAGTCTTTGTATGTGAAAAGGCATCTTATAAATAAGAAACAATGTCAAGGATCAAGAATCAAATCAAGAGGTCAAAAGATCAACTAAAAAATATTCAATAATTAAGTAAGAGTATAAAGCATATACTATAAGATATTTTTGAAATAATTGAATTGGCAAAAGATCCTATAAATATAAAAAAATATGCTAAAGATATATCTTTGTAGTTGATAAGTTGTATTTTTTCAGTAAAAAAAATAATAAAGAAAATAATTCATATTACATTATTTGTAGTTATTTTAATGTGATCAATATGTGTGTATATATATATATATATATATATATATATTACAAAAGAAAAAGAAACACACACAAATAGAATGAATGAACAAACAGATAAGGTCTACTTTTATAATAGGCATTTTTATTCTTAAGCTCTGCTTAATTTGGTCTCTAGCCATGTGAAATTATAGGTTGAACAAATTCTATTTGTACAACCACCATCTAAAATCTATATCCATATTAGTTTGAGCAATTTCTTCTAAATGTTAACTTTAAAATGCACATCCAATAAAGCTTTTAATCAACAGTTAATCCGAGGCAGTTTTTATTCAACAATTAATAGTACAATTGTAGAATAGAATTTATAAGTATGCTTGTGTTTTAAACACTTACTTTTTTACATAGTATCCAAAGCACAATACCAAAGCTTATATAAATTAATCATTCTTATCTTAATCTTAAAACTGATTCTAGACATGCTTCTCTTGTACGTCATGGTTTATGTTACCAACCCCGGAGCACTTACAGTAGGACCTCTCAAATAAGTAGGAGGTGGCTGCATGTCCGCACTGCAGTTTGCAGTATTTCTGGGCCTGTGCATTCCGTTTAAAGTATTCAAAAAGTCTCACATGTCAGCCTGCAAAATAACATGACCTTTGAAATTTTGAAATTGAGGTACTCATGAAAACTAGGACAGGCCTTAAAATTCGATCATATTAAATCATGGTTTCAGAGGGGCAACTCAGTTTTATTGTTTTTTACCAAGGATCAACAATTTTTTCTGCATTTATTTTGTCCAGTTTTAAGAATTTGAAGCAAAAAGAATACACAATGGATACCACAAATCAAATCTGAAGTGATCCACGAAAATGATGGAATTCTCTTCCGTAGCCTTTGGGGTTGTAGATTATTTACCAAGCTTCAACTGGGTGTAGACGGCTCTTAACAACACCTACACATCAGTGATGCAAAGCGTGCAGACACTGACAATGTACCTGCATGGATCCCAACAATGCACGCAAATCTGTATTCTCGGCAACTAGCTCCTGATCCTTGTTCTCGTAAGCATCAACCTACCTAAGTTGCCCACATGAATTTATATGGAACAGAGAATGAGTTGAGCTAGCTAAACTCTACAATGAATACTGTGCAACCACAGCAAATGGTTGGAAAGAACACATTGATTCGCAAGCGTAGCATTTCATGCTACTCTTGGATACAAAACAATGCTAGAGGGCGCTTTTTCAGACCAGAAACTGGGGATCCCGCGTATCTGAGCAGGTGTAGAACAAAACGTTGAAGTTGAAATACTACTATAAGATTTCCCTTAAACAATAGAGAGTAGAATTACGGTGAACTCACTGAAATTTTGCAAACATCGCCATCAGCTTTCTTAAAGTTCCATGTCCCGCGCTTCCTACCTTCCTTCTGAATATGAATAAAAAGCACACAACCAAAGCAGAATTTATAAGATGCAGTTGAACATGAAGCTCTTAAATAAGAAAGTGAAAAACCTCGCTGCCATCTTCGAACTCAGCAGTGATCAAAATGATAATTGGCATATTACACAAACCTGTAGCTTCTTATATTCCTTCTCCTTCTTTTTCAATTCATGTTTCTGTTGAAATTTCAGTAGCTGCCCATCACCCCCCCCCCCAATACATGTTGGGACTTGGAAAACAGCATCAAGGCACTAAAATCATGGGATAGGTGAACTTTGAAAGAAAACCAGAGAATTCATGGTCAGCAGTTGACTGGCACATTGAACAAATTACCACTTACAATTGATCTGAATTCAATGGAATTTATACTCCACACGAAATTTTCGGCGCAACGAGGGTGTATTTTAGGAAACAACTCACAATTAGTTGACCAGACTCCAATGGCTTCCACATGTCGGAAAAAGCTGGTCATGCCTGTGAGGGGATCAACATGCGATTGGTTTCATCCTTTTACCAGCTGCAATTTCTTCAATTGCGTCTTTGTACCGGATGTGACTTTTTGTTCCTGTCCCCACCAAGTAACCGTGAGATTAATTAATAGGGGTATCGTCATTGTAGAAGTAATATTTATAAATTAATGAAGTTTAGCGATCCCCTGAGCAACACTCATTCATTTAAGATTCCTTAGCAACAAATCATAGGCTGCTTTCAAATAATATCACTTAGCGACAAGTGCGTGTTGTAATCATGCTAATGTAATAATGAAAGTCACCTTGATCGTTAAGATTTGCAATTCACACTCCTTGATGTTAATCTGATTGGACAATCTCTCCATCTAGGTCGCTAGCCTGAACATATCTGCCATCAGCCAGCGCAGCAAAATAAGCTTCGGCTAAAGTTGCAGCATACACAGTTTTGGAAAGGTCACAAGTTAATTGTCAACAGCATTCATGAACTTGACATACTTCTAATCATATGAACTTTGAGCCTCGTTGACGCGAACAACAAGAAGAAACTTAAAATATCACTCCGATTCTCAATATTGGTGTATCTTTTTACACATTATCATATCCGAATTGTGTCAATACAGTCCTAATATGAGCTTAATAATAAGCAGTACTGGTGAAAATCATGGACAACCGTGTGAATATAACTATAACATTGCATTCACTTATCTTAGAATAACAGTACTTGCTCTCAAGGACACGGTACTAAACTGTGTTTGTTTACTTCAAGCCTGCAAAATTCAATAATAGCTAGCTCATTGTACAATGTCTGAGCCACTGCAAACCTTTGTTTCATGTTAATATCAGATTCACGGTACTCGATGTCTTGTTGCCGTTGCTGAATCATAGAGAATATACTGGAACAAGCATTTGCGATTAATAGCTGCTCCAAAAAAGGTTAATTTTGTAGGCCATGACATACATGAGCTTCGTCAGCAATTCCATAATCCTTACTAGTATCATCTTAGAAAAACTGGCAACGGAGGTAATTGCTAAGTGCAGCACTGACTAACGCGCAACAAAACCAATTCAACGGTGCGGCAAAATCTTGCGGGATTAGTTGAGTACAAGTTGATTCCAGAGGGAAACCTGAAAGTAACCAAGGACTTTCAGGTTCTTGATACAATGATCCAAATTTTGAACATCTCCAAAGTAATCCTCCCTGAAATGAATAGGTCAATGTATGTTTAATTCGTGGAATCTAGCATTGAGAATGGATCTGCCAACCAACTGTGGTGCTCATAAAAGATCATATCGTTTTCCAAAGATACAGCTACATTATTTCACAGAGTCTCTTCGAAACATTTCGGATGAGAATAAACATTTATGAGAAAAATTAGTTTGTCATCTGTAGGCAAGGTGAATCGCGACTTTTAGAAGCCATTAAAACACAATTTAGAAGAATGCTTGTAGCAAGGCTTGGAAGTCTTACCTGGTGACGGAATCAGCCTCATGAGAATCCTTGAAAGATCAAGGACGTACACCAGTTTACAGAAAATTCAAAACGTTATCTCAAAAAAAAAAAAAAAAAAAAAAAACCGTTGGAGATTGTCACCGAAATAATAAAAATTAAGCAGCTCTAAGCACGGATAACCATATCAGGATGAATATGAACGTATCATAAGTCATATCACCTACACTTAAGGATGTTACGCGGGCCTAATGTATGCGACAATTACCACTGGATGCCCAGTTCAGCGAAAAATGTAAGCGATCCTACCAACATACACACACAGATATATATATATATATATATATATCAAATTGAGAGGTCGCACCGAGCACTGAATCTTACCGCATTAGTCTCTTCAATGTTGCCAACCTTCATTGTAACTTCTTTGCTTGGTTGCTACTTGTAGACCTAAACAGAATCCTTGGAACAACTTGGTATGGTGCAACCAATGCAGTCGGAAAATTTCAGCAATTACTGCACAAAGTGTCGGCATACTAGTTTAGGAAATCTCTTCATGAAGTGCTCGGTAATGGTGCCGGGTTTCAAAGTAACAGACTTATGAGGAAGTGTAAATGGAGCAATCACCAAGTTGATACTCCAAGGAAAGCTTCTTAGATGACGTTCCATGTGAAACATTTAGCTTCTCGACGTTCACAAATAGGAGAATAATGCGTATACCAAAGAGGAAGGAACTGTTTGTAGAAAGAGAGGCCAGGTAGAGCGCAACTCAAGCAGGAGACCTTATGAACTTAACTCGAAAATTTTGTACAGCTCAACGACTGAAAGTAATAAATCTAAACGCAGTGATGTGTTTTTTTGCCAAATAAAGAATGAATTAGAAGCAAAGGACGACGTTCTTCCTTCACAAGACCTCATAGAAAGCAGGTCCCACTCAATCGAACGACAAAGATTCAATTGGTTTTCAGTCTGACAAGCAGCTGAAGAACTTTCCAGCAAAAACCACAGTGTCGAAATGCGCGAAAGCGATCGCAGCACTACAGCACGATCGCTAATTCTACTATTCTTTTAAGCATCCTCAACAAGCTCACAAACATGATTCAAAGCCAAGCCTGCTCTAAACTTGACACTAAAACGACAGCTAAATCTTGTAAATCTTTATACTACCCTCGGCGTATAAGGACTTAATAGGACACGAGCAACACCTCCACAACCGGGATGGTAGAAATGCTGATATTCCGAGAGCAGGGGGAAGGGGGAGCTATTTAAGCTCTGTTCTCACATCGTTGTTTCCATGCTTCGGTCCATACTCGAAGCTGCGGCCGATCTCGACGCTGACGCAACCGCGCGGCCAATTCCAAGCCCAACTCTTGGTGATCGCTTTTTCGTTGTTTCGAAAAGTAAAAAGTAGTGGTTCAAAGAAAATTATTTGTACGTTATTTTGAGAAAATAAATAACTGATATGCTCTCCAGAAGGTTACAATTTTTTAATTTTTTAATTTTTTTAATTTATTTTTGTTGATTTTTGAAATACATTCAGATGGTTTCTAAGTTATGTGATGCAATACTTGCAAAGCTATTCAAGAATGCATTTTTCATATGGCATTGACTATCTATCTCTTGAAAAGAGGAAGTCACTGTATGGTTTTCGTAGCAAGTGAACATACCATTAATCAACACATGGTCAACAAGTAGATGTAAAAATAAAAATAAGTCACAAAAAAATATAAATATAGAATGAGTATTTCTAAGATTTAGTTTAAAAAATTAAAAATTAAAAATACCAACATCAAGAGTAAATATTCAGCATCCTGTTTCTCTTTTCCTGTTTTTAATTTTGATTGATTGATTGCTTGAATTTGAATGATGTCTCTGCTTATCATATTATAATAGATTACATATTTTGAATGACATAGTAAATTGTTGAAATAATTATAACAATAACAAAAGAGAAGAGGAGGGACATGCCTGTAGAGAAGTTCCTTCCATGCTCTTCACTTTCATTCATACGTATTCATACAAATGCATTTGACATGTGCAATAATTAACTATCATGAAATCTAATGAAACACACACTTGGTATGAGATTACAATTTAAACATATGTTTACATATTTAAAATAAAAACATTATGGGACGTTGATGATTTTTATCGACGTGAAACATGATAAAACTACTGCTAACCACTCATGCATGTTCATATATTGTATATATGTAAATATTTTTTTGGATTTTGCAAAGTACTTTATTTTGATGAAAATTAAAGAAAAAAGAAAAAAAAAAAAAAAGGGAGTTAGAAGAGGTGGAAGTAGAATGTGCAGAATTTTCTATTTTTTCAATTTATCGAAATGATTTGACACTTGAAGCTATTTAACACATGCATCTAAATCATATAATCAATAAGCTAAGGTATATTTAATAGTTTCTACATTTTTAAAAATTATTACATATAAATAGGTCAGTGTGTGATATAACTTTAAAATGAAACCAGTTTTTATAGACTTTACTTTACATTTTAAATCCTATAAAAAATAAATAAATGATGACACTGTAAATGAGTACCTAAACAAGAAAAAATACATTACGAGCTTTTCAATACTGAATTTGCATTTAATCAAAATCAGAATTTTACCGACTACTTAATATATAATTCAGTTTTTGTGTGATTTCATTAAGTACACACAAGTCCAGATTATTTTTAACATATAATATTACACGTTATTTTATTCTTTCGAAGTCAAATTTACAATTTTCAAAAGTTTCATCTAGCTCATGTTTTACAATATATTATACTTCATTCCACAATCTTTCACAATTTCTCTCATTTACTGCCTTCCAGTATATCTATATATATATATATATATATATATGCAGAATTCTTAGTTAATACTTAATTTTTCTCATTATTTTACATGTTTTCAACTAACTAGTGATAATATTGGTTTTCATTTATACAGATCAATTTCAGTTGGAACAACTAGTTAGAAATCATTTTTTATAATGTATATTTTATTTACAACATCTACATGTTTCTTTATTCTAGGTTTATTATTTGAATACAAACTGTATAAAAATCATTTAAAGTCACATAATTGAGTGAAAAACTTTTTATATAAGCATATCTCAAATATTCAATGTGTGTTTGTTAGTATTCAAGTTTTACAAAATTTAGGATTTAATGTAATTTTATTTAATATTTTTGTCTTGTTTTTTTTTCCATTTTTCTTTTTAAAAATTCCAAAAATATTTTAAAAGTCAAATTTAGAATAATCCTTGTGGTAGATATGATATTAATCTTTGCTATTATTATTTTTAAATCAAACCTATTTTATTATTGGATTAGAGTCTAACTAATATTTTCAATTTTAAAATACCAAGGTTTATAGTTGCAAGCATGCATTTTTACGATTTATTTAAACAGGATGTTGTCAAAAGGTCACTACAGATTTAGGTCTCCTATATTTTTAGGTTCCAATATTTGTTGATAACAGAAGTATCGTTTTTAAACAAAGATGTACAACAGTTATTACTACTTACAAATCAATGTTTTAAATGACTTCGAAGGTGCAAAATGCATTATTTTAAAGGTAATACAGGAATATATACATATATATAGACACACACATGCATTCTCTTCCAACACAAGGTTATAAAATTTGTACTTTTAAACTAAAAAATTATCATTGATTTATTATGTGACTAATCATATAATGATTTATATAAAATCGTAAAAAAAAATGTACTTAGAAATAAATCATCTTTCAAGATAGTTATTTTTTAACAACATTTTCTTTGTATAATTCATTAATACAACAGTATCTTCAAGAAAGGATTATTATCAAAATTAATAAGAAGGTTATACTTCAAAACTAACGGTTGCAATACTAAACTGTTATTATAGTGTAATACATTCTTGGAATACAAAATAAATTGCAAGCTTTGTTTCTTTAAATATTCTCTTATTAGTTACAGGTTTCTAACAAGACCCATAATTTTAATTTATTTAAGATTAAGACAATAATGACTATATATATATATATATATATTTATTTATTTATTTATTTATTTTATTTTATAATTAAATCAAACTGTTTACATATTACTGTGTATTGCGTACCGTTTTGAATAATCTAGTATGGAGTACCACCTATTAACACATTGGTTTTCAACAATTTTAGAACAAGATCATTAGAGAACCTTCATGTAGCTAATTTTGTATCAATTTGTTTTATTCCACCTTTGCTAAGGCTATGACACTTTCCAAGTGGATTATCAAAATATGCCATGGATCAACATCAAGAGCCAACATTTCTTTGAAGTTCAAACTGCATGTAAACTGAATAAGCAGAGCCTGTTATTACAAAAATTTATAAAACTTGTAGGTTAGAAAAATACTTGAAATATGTGTGTTTATATATATAATTTTGATAGACAGAAAAGATATAAAATAAATATAATTTTTTATTTTGATTCAACTCAATAATTTATAAATTTTCAAGTCTAATTGATTTTATGAGTAATAGTAATTATAATGCATAAGTATACAACATATTAAATGTGTGTCATTTTAATTGAAAAATTCAAGTACCTTTTCAATATTTTCAATTTATTTTTCTTGAAAAATATTAAAATTAGAACATAAATTTTATACTACTTATTCAATCAATACTATCAAGATTTTCCAAATAAGTCAAGTTGTAAAGATACTAAAATAAATTTTACAAAATTTCATACTTTTTAATTTAACAAAAAAAAATATATACTTGTTCTTCTTCTTCTTCTTCTTCTTCTTTTAACTTTTTTTTTATCGTATCTAAAATGATTCACTACAAAAAATATTAATCACACACTTTGATTCTTAGAAAACATATAAAAATTTAGCACATTAACATATGCAACAAAATTTCATGAAAATACCAATGTAGTTTAAATTATAATTGAAGTATTTATCAAATTTCATCAAATCTTCAATTTATGCTTATAATATTTTTTATGTATTTTTAAATATTTTACCAATAAAAGAAATTTTTTTCAATAATTACTTAATTCTTAAAATAGCTATTATAAGACAAATAAACAATAAAAAATATTAAATAAAATACTGTACATAGTTCAAGTATAATCTGCTATCTTCGATTCATGATCATTGTTATGTATATTGTAGCAAACTACAATTTGGTTGAGAAATTAACATGTGGAATTTCTTTTTCTCTCTTTAACAAATCCATTACAATGAAGCTAACATATTTATATGTAGAGAGATACATGTAGAGATATTTATATATACATTCTCGTTTATAAACTGAGAAAAAAAAAAAAAAAGGGTTTTTATAATTTTTACCATCCAACTAATCAATATTTTTTCAACACTTTGATGTATAATACTTTTATTTTATTTTTTAAATATTCAACTTTATTGATGTATGTTTTATTGTATCTTTAGATTTATATTTTGTACAATCAAGTAATATATTGTACTTCATTTGTCTAGTTTATTGTGAAAAATAGTAGAGTCAAAAGTTCTTGATTCTTAAATTCCGTTTAATCTCATTTCAACATAAATAACCTCAATTATGTAGGAATAAATGTTGGTTGTAGAAATTTCAACCACCCAGCAAGTAATTTTTGGTATTGAATGTACTCTAATTGACAACGAAATTATTTTTATTTTTTCTTAATTTAATGAGACTCACTTTGAGTCTAATTCAAACAAAAGAAAAGTTATTTATGTAAAGAAAATATCATATATATATATATATATATATAACATGAATTTTACTTTTCCTTGTATGTACTTGTAGCAAAGAGGAAGATCTTACAAATCCAAGTTCTTTATGCAAACTGGGATATATTTTTGAATTATATATATATAACTATTTAAATAAATGTTGAACTTGATTGATTTTTTCTTGCATTGACAGCATTTAGAGCAACAGGAGGTATCTTTGGTATGTGGAGCAATGCATTTAATTTTTTTTTTTTTTTTTATCTTTTTGTTACAATTGAATAATGCCAGTGTTAGCTCTATAGTTCATTTTAAAATCAAAATGTGTAGTTCAAACCAAGAAAGGGAGTTTATGAGTAGTGGAATGACTCTCCACATTTGGAACCATGATGAACTCTAATACGTATGCAACATGAAGATTAGACTTAGTATTTATAATTTTTGTTGTAAAAGCATTATGCTTGTTAATTCTATGTTATAAATATGGACATAAATTTTTAATTTAATACGTTTTGAAATATCTTTGACTCATAAATATTACTTTTACTAGATTTATAATAAAAAACATAAGACCATTTATTGCTATGTTTTTGTTTGAGTTCTATGTTTGACAGATTATTTCAAAAGTAAAGAGTACATTGTACATATTGATTACAATCTATTGGTTTGTAAAGAAAATGGTTAAACTTATGATAACTAACACCAACCCATGCAACAAATAAAAAATTTATTTTGAAATTAAATACAAAGTACATTTTTATGTGTGTGTTGAAATTCTGAAATTTTAAGATAACTAGAGTTAAAGCTTTCTTGTCTATCAATTTTCTGCACACACACACACACACACACACAAACACACACACACACACATATATATATATATATATATATATACCCAACAGTTGACTTGGAGTGAGAGAAATAAACCTCATGGTTTTGGACAAAAAGTGGCTGTACATCCCTAAACCATGAAAGAATTAAAAAAAACAAAAAAAAAACAAAAATAACAAAAATAACAAAAAAAAACAAAAACTAACAAACAAATCAACCAATGGGAGCAATAAAAAAAATCAGGCTGTGTTGCCTCCCTCCCAAGGAAGAAACTTCAACAAAAATATACATTGCCACATGTTGTCTGCATTTTGCAGTTTGTTTTCTTGAAAAGGAAAGGAGCATGTTAAAAATATGAGCAAAGTTAACTGGTAGCAGACAGATATGTGTTAAGATATATATATATATATATATATATATATGTTTTAAACTAGCATATGGTTTCAGTGATCATAAAAAAGTGGCTAATACCAGAAAAGAGAGTTATGAGTGTAATGATGCGAATGAATGTCAGAAGCCAATGCTGGTGTTGGTGGGTGTGGTGTGAGAAGCCCCACATCACACCCACTTAACATATAGTCACAAACCTGCGCCCTCGCCCACACACCCTCACACCCAACAAGCTGTGTATTATTTCTCACTGCATGAGCAGGAGCAGCAGCAAATCTATGTGGTGAAGGGCAGAGCATGGGTCATGAGGAAATGCCACCTGGTGGGGCCTGGCCTTGCCTGTCACTCCCTCACTCTCACCCCAAGGGCACAATGAAAACTGATATACACTTTTTAATATTAAATACAATACTTTAGGGGAAGGGATATAGGGTGGGTGAGTAAGTGAGTGAGTGAGTGAGTGGGTTTGGGAGGGGTGTGCAACAAACATGGGGCCTGAAGAAGTGTGTGGCTGGGGAATGAGAGAGCTGCCATTCTCTGGGCAGGCAGGCATTGACCATGACCATGACCCCCTCCCCCCCCAATTATGCACACACACACACTCACTCATTCACTCACACAAACTCACAAGTAGCAGAAGAAGCAGTGAGGAAGAGGAGGAGGAGGAGGGAGGGAGGGAGGTGGGGTTAATCCTGTTACTCCCAGTTTAGTGAATGAATGACACAGTGTATCTTACAATCTCTCTCTCATCCCATCATGTGATCTAGACACTGCAAGGTCAATTTCTTACATGGCTCCTTTGGATATACCCCAACAGAGAATGACCCCTACTTTCACCATCTCCAAGCATTTGTGTATCCCACATATGGACAGTCTTTTCCTTTTTCCTTTTGAGTGGCAAAAATAAAAGTTGTGCCCATCTTTAAAGTTTCCACAAGAACCCAACTAGTCATTCCATACAAAACCAAAAAGTCATACTGATGTTGTGGAGTTAATTAGAAACTCTCAAGAACAGAGGCAATATATATATATATATATATATATATCTATATATATATATATATATATATATAATGAAGTTGATCTGGTAGATTTCACTAGCTTGGTAAGGAGCAGTTATCAACAATTGTGAAATTTCAATGAAATTGTACATAATTTTTTTCTACAATCCTGCACCTTTGTTACAAAAAGTGTGTAAACAGAGAGGGCCCAGAGAGTTTAATTGTACCCATCTGGGCAGTTACAAGTAGCATGCTCCACAGACAGTCACATGGACAATGAATTTGTGCCTAGAAGAAGGTGGCACCATTCTACATGTCCAAGTCACTGAAGCTGCTTTGCTTGTGTGTTTGTGCTGTAAATAGATTAGTGTTATCTTCTTTTTTCCTCCTCCTCCTCCTTGTTTTTGTTTTTTTTTGTTTTTGTTTTTGTATTTTGGTTTTACCCCATTCAATTTACAACAAAACTGAACTGTAATCTGCCACAACTAATTTACAGCAGCCAGTACCTGCAATTTGTTGGTTAATTATCAATGCAGAGTCAATTAAATTTTTAGTTCAGTTGATAATGGGTTTTGGTGCATAACCTTGTCTGATTTCTCACCATATTTACCTGATCAGGTTTGAATGTGGGCCTGGCAAGAGCTTTGGCCACTAAGCTGCTTTGTGCACAAGTCCCTCTTTGCTGAATTTGTCCAGTTCTGGTGCCATAGGAAGTAGACTGACAACCCATCAGAAAAACAATTGTTCCCTTTGCAGGCCAGAAATTGTTGTTAACTGCTTGCAGAACAGTCAAACATATTGAAATTTGAAGGGCAAATGGGGCAGACTGTCTGTATTTTGACTGGATTATAAGGAGTATCACTTAATTGTAATAAGACGATTCATTTGGAAACAAACCCATAACATAGTTTCCTTTAAGAAAAAAAGGCAGGCGAGAAATTTAACACTGACAGTAATATAGGCGTAGACTTTTAATTTCATCTCAAGTTGAATGAATAAAAAAAGAAAAGAGGCAAATTTGGCTTACAGACTGATCACCTAAGTGGAATTGACCTGCAACTAAACTCCATTGGACATTGACATCCACATGGATTTGAAACCCCTTGAAAGAAAAAGCTCAAACATCCATCTCCAAATAGGACGATCAGAAGAATCATGACGAGTGTGGCGATGGCATGACGGAAGCGTCAGGAGCACGGTGCAGGAGGGGGAGGTTAGGAGACGCTGGGAGGAGATTAGTTGCTGTGGAGGAGGGAGGAGGATGTGGTGATGTGTTCTCTTTCACCAGGAGATGGTGGAAAAGGAAAAGTCGGGGGGCTGGTGTGAGAACCGCCATGGCGGGACCCGCTGGCGCTCGATGTTGGCGAGCCATGGACGAGTCAAAAACCAAACGGTGCAGCTTCAGATGATGCAGGTGACAAGGTCGAGCGAGAGTCGATCTGATCTGTGCCTTCACGCTGGCTTTTGAGCCCTTCTTGCTTGCTTTGATTCAGACTTCTCGGGACCATCCGTTTCTTGTTTTCTCAGAGTAGAGATCTCGTCTCTCCGGCTTCTGCTCTCCTGGTTCATTACGTCTGCTTTTCTTCCTCAGCACTTTCATCTTCTTCCTCTTCTCCTTCGCTGCTCATCTTGACTGTTACTGCATCGTTTGTGTACGCGAATCTGTAGTAGTAACTGTATGTACATATAATAAGAGGTTTATGATTGGTTCCATGATTCTTTCGTCCTCCTCGACGACGCGCGGAGTATTCCGTCGCAGTTGGTGTGTTGAAAGCGGGGTAGTGTGTATGGATGCGTTGTCTGTATCGGATGTGTAGAGGTTTGCCTCTGCCGGCTCGGGAGGCTTCAGGAGTTACTGAGGGGAAGGAGTTGTGGTCGTAGGTGTGCAAGGAGTGAGGATTGTGTACGAGAGGGCTTGTTCGTATCTGAGATCTTGCTGCAGTATGTGGATTTTGTGCGTGGAGGTTACCGAGCAGATCTTCCATACTTTGTAGGCACTTACACGTTTGGTGTGACGTGTTGTGCTTGCGCATTTGCTTTTACTTTGCCGCCCAGGTGCCGTTGGAGGAGGGCTGGTGTTGAGTTGAGTTTCGGCTGGGGGGTCTTTTAGTGAGAGATTGTTTTATTTCATACGGTAGTTGAACTGGCCTTAGGAATTCCGTGATGTGTTTCCCTGTATGGTAGTGCCTTGATTATGCCTTACCAAGTTATTTCCTGGGAGCAGCACTAGAATTGAAGTGACCCCGTGAAGCAGGTAAGGAAGCCTGCTTTGACTATTTCTTTGCGGGTTGTTCCGCAAGTTCTGATAGTCTGAAGGTGTGGTTGATTGTCAGGATTGCTCGTTTATTGGCAAGTTTTGAGCTCAGGTGTTGACGCACTGTTCTTTAGTGTATGTTTAGAACTTCGAGATAAGATCTGCGACAAAGGGCAGAATTATGGATACCAAGCATCGGATCGTGCAGTGCCCCAAGTGTCGGGCATATTTATTAGAACCCCCTATCGGCAATCCTTTTTACGAATGCGGTAGCTGCTACACCACTCTGCAAGGTTTGTTCGATACCTTGCCGTCACGATTTACTGCTATCGCCCACCATCATGCGCCGGCTGCTTTCTGTATGGCATTTTTAGAACGAGAGAACTTCTTGGAGTTGCTGCTTCCACACCTGGAGAGTTGCTTGCCATTTTGAGTGTCCCTTGGTCTTGACGCTTGCTCAGTGGGCTTCGATTCTGCAATTCAAAACATCACTTAGCCTGCTGAATTTTGTTTGTTATTGCGTCATCTGTGCTTTGTTTTTCTGATTTTTCAGTTGTCATTCAGTTTTAATTCCATCTTGTATCTTCCATGAAATCCCTGATGATAGAGTTTGATGTCATACACAGCCAATCACGCCACACAAGAAGATGTAGAGAAACGTTTGCGACAGATGGCGCACTTGAAGCGAGCGGAAATTGAGAAGGGTATGAAAAGCGTACCATCTGAAGACGGATGTAAAGTATTTACCTCGGAGTCTTCTAGCGAAAAGAGCAATGACGTAGAAGATCATGGCCAATCTGAAGAAGATTCACCTTCTTGGTCGTCGTCAAGGTGGGAATCGCCGCTTCGTGGTTCCAAACCTGGAGAATCATTTCAGACCCATTCTCATCTACAACATCAAAAGCATTCTGTTGAATCGATTGAGAAATCACAGAATCATCCGCAGAGTTCGGCTTCTCCATTCAATCAAAATCCTCTGCAAGGGAAGGTCGAAGTGCTAAGCCACAACTTGCAGCGACTTGTAGTGGAAGACCGCATGGAATCTCAGTATTTGAACAGGGTTTCTGCAGGTGCAGAGGGTGCGGACGGACATGGCGCTCATCAAATGAGCTCGAGACGACCCGGTTCGGGAGAGATACAGCCTGACAGAATCGTCGAGGGGCATCATCCTCAAGTCCAAAAGTCAGTCTCTTTCAATGACTCTGCGAATGGGCCCTCAATGGGAGGGGTTCAGACATCGATTGTGAAGGATTTACACTCAGTGAATCGCACATCTCTTTCCGATTCAGGAGACACTGTAGAAGATCACATCCATCATATTTTGGACGATTTCCTTTCTGCACGATATGACGCGAAGTCCCAATACTCTAAAGTTGAAGGATACGAAAGCCAGCGGGACATCCACGGTGCATTAGACTTATCGGAGTATGGAACTAATAGTTGCACATCGTCTGTGGGTGATGGCGATTCAAATCGGGCTTTTACGGTGGAGAATCATTCCGGGTCCAAATCCGGTGAACTTGATAGCTATGTAGTTCTGGACCATGGGATAACGAGACCTGGGTCCTATCAACGAAGCTCTTCGGCTAGCAGGCATGGTCAACTGGTTACTGCTTACCATCATTCTGCAGATGTTTCCGAGAAACACCATTCCGATGGAGATACATTTTCATCTCATACGCAATCGGCTTCTAAGGTAAAGTTGAGACCGACATCTTATCAACAGCCTTCTCATTCACCTAACCACCCGTCGGCTCAGTCTCCACCTCACTACGCGCACAACAAGCCTCGAGTCGGACAGATTCACGTGTCTTATGACTCAAACCTGACCAGTGGTGCGGCGAAGTCCTACCCGTTTCTACCTCGGGCGGATGAGTCACCCTATGTGCTCTGCCAGCACTGTGAGCAGCTTCTCAGCGTCCCATTTAATCTGCCTCCAACTACGAAAGTTTATCAAAAGTTGAGATGCGGTAAATGTTTCAAGATCTCTCTCTTCCTTTTGGCAACGGACGACCAATTGCCAGCTTCTACAGTCTCTCCAAGAGGACACGTCACGAGCCCATCAGATTCGGGTTTCAGCAACAGACATGTCAACCATGGAGCGAAGTCGGATTCCGAAATAGGAGATAGATGTCATGCTTCCGTTGCCTCTGGAGCGTCATCACGCCTACCACCTGTCGGGAGGAACATCCCACGAATACCCTCGGGATCAAAACTTTCGGCGATGAGCTCGGCCACTAATACTACAACAATGATGGGCCATTGTTCTGTCTCGAACTTGCATCCTGCTACAGGGGCTGTTCCGGGACGTAGCAGCAGCTCCTCTCACTACGGTGATGGAGTTTCCTATCGCCGTTCCCACTCTGCGTATGGGGTAAATGGGGAACATGTGATGTCCTCATTAGGACCCAGAGTAGCATCTGGGAGCGATTATGAAGGTCATCACCCGCAAGATGGGAGATTTTTCCACACAAGTAGTGAGTCGGATAATGACTCTCCCAGACAACGTCCTCCTAATAGCTTTTTTAAGGGTGAGAACTTTCACGCTTCGTCGCGCATGCCTTTGGATCGTCACGTTGCCCAACAGTATTCAAAGGATGAAGGTTACATGCAAGAAACAAATTCAACGTCTTCTATGAGTCTGAAAGGTATTACAAAGAAGTCCATGAGAGAACTGACCAAGCCCAAACAAATGTCGAGTAATAACTTATATAGGCGGAACGTAATTGTTAATGGGTCTCCCATACCTGATGTGCTCGTGAAGCGAGCCGAGAAACTAGCAGGACCTATTCATCCAGGGTCCTATTGGTACGACTCTCAAGTAGGATTCTGGGGCGTTTCCGGTGGACCGTGCGTGGGTATCATTCCAGTAAGTACTTGCAAGTAACGCATGGTCGTCTTCTATTTGTTTAAAAGATGAAATTGTGTAGGCGTGTTGTATGTTGCTTATTTTCCTAATGCTTATTGTGCATGTCAATTCACTGCAGCCGCTCATTGAGGAATTGAGTCTACAACCACTCTCAAGGTTCTCCTCTGGTGGACAGACTGGAGTTGTGGTTAATGGAAGGGAGTTGCACAAGAGCGACTATGATCTTCTGGTGCGGCGTGGTCTGCCCCCTACACCGGGTATGACGTACTTAGTCGATATCGAAGGACACGTTAAAGAAGTTGCATCTGGGGTGGAGCTTAGATGTCTTGGCTCGTTTGCAGCAATGTAAGTGACAGAAATCCTTTTCCCAGTTGACAACACGATTCTCTCTATTAACTGAGTGAGGAAACGATCGTGTAATATTCTCAATTGTTACGAGTGTCTGATACTTTTGTCCACAATCTTTGGGAAGACTTGAGAGTCGCGTATGGTTCCATTCCTGTATTCCTTCACTCTGCGTGTTCAGTGCTGGGATGTCTTAATGATGATTTTAGTTCTTAATTTTCTTGCTTGTGCAGGTTGGATCAAATAGGTGCAGGGCATGGAATGTGGGTACCTGGAAGCATCTAAGTTGCACGAATATATAGAATTGTTCCTCGGTACATGATTACTTTGCGTCCTGATTGCGGCTGAGGCATGAAACTTCGAAGGTGTACTCAGTTCAGTTCCAGCTAAAAATTCGATTCAAAACCTCTCCGAATGATGCCTGGATCAAGTCAGTTCGTGTTTCGAGGGTAGGCAATATGTCAATATACTCTGCCTTTACTTAAGCTTGTAGACATGACAGTATGCTCACTGTCATCGAGAGATATTTTTTCTTGGAAAGTTATCAAGATGTTATTTTGTACTTAAACGGGTTGCTTGTAATTTGGTTTGAAAAGCTGTACATGTCTGATCGAAACTTCAAAAGCTCAACACCTTCATGTTTGGTGTTGCTGCTTTAATTCCAAGGTCTATTTTGTATGATGTGTCGCTCGCTCCTGCAATCATTCTTGTGTCTTCATGAGATTAAGATTGAAGTATCATGTTTTTTCTTGCGTCGACCGCAGTATTCGGTTCTACCTCGAGGCGTTAGGTTTCGTTGTTTTGTTATGAGTGAATTTTCAACGACTGGAATAGTAGTGACGGTGTGATTATGGGCAAGGGTCTTGAAGCAGTCGTTTGGGCTGCACACACCCATTTTCCCTATCCACTTGTATTTAAATCTGGTGGTCTTGTTCAGATTGCTATGATTTTCTGTACCTTGAACAGGAATATGGGTGAGTGAATCTGTTGGCCTAGTTGCGTATTAACATATGGTGCTGTGCCCATGTGTTCTGATTCTTAGTGTACCCAGTGAGGTCAGTGAGCAACTGTCTTTGAGGAGTTCAATTTGACTATTTCCGTGTCTCCGCATTTCTTTACATCTTAAATTCATGTTTACTACGGGGCAGGACATGCTGCATTGTCTGGTTTTTATTACTTCTATTTAAGTAGGCATGACTTGCTCCGTTGTAACAAGGTTTTGCAACATGCATTGAGCATTTCTTTTTCTTTTTTTTCATTTCATTTTATTTGACTAGCTATCGTTCCGTTTTATGTGCTTATCTGAAGAATATGAATGTGTATGTTGTCTTATTTTTTGGTTTGATTTGAAGACTGATGATTGGAAATTTTTGTGCAGGTGCTTGTATTTAAGAGATGAAGCTACATATTAATTTTCAACTACAACTCTGTACCTTAAACATCACCATTCTTCGTCGAATTTTGTTGTCAACAGTTCTGGATGTCCTGGTCTCTTCAGTGGCGTGACAGTGTTTTGCCGAGCTACTTGCGCGAAGTTGCAAGAGTACTGTGGTAAAAACACACTTTACGGCCCTTTTGGCATCACGATTTTGAGATTCAATTCCTTGGATCTGGTTTACCTGAATCTGGGTAACAAATTATAAGAGATTGGCTGCAATCCATGAACTCCTGAGCTTACATTGTATTACGCGCTACAAGAATCTGTATGAACTCTTACTCAATCTTTCAGTTTCAAAAGAAATTTGTTTATTTCATTCATTTCTCAGTTTCCTGATCTCTAGGCCTCTGAGTCAACCAACGAAAGTAAGCGATTTCCTCGTACAACCCTTGTGTTCTTCTGTATGTGAAGTTCGTCCTCCAATTCATCTACAGCCTCCTTTTGTGCCTGGTGAGTCTATGCCTCGGTACTTCTCCAACTTCTCTAGTTCTGTTCTACTTACCTCATTCCATTTCTTCGCAAGTGCTAATGTATTTTTGCCGTTACTTGGCTTTATTGTTAGTTCTTACTTCGTAACAGAGTACCTACTGAAAAATTCAACGCAGAAGTGGCTGTTAAACGTTGTTGTAGTCTGTATTGAAAGTCTCATAGTGTAGTCCGATTAAGATAAAGCTTAGTTGTGTCCAACATTGCCTTAGAGATTGTTTCTTTAATTTCACTTTATTCTCCGAATTTCAAGCTCCAGAAGGGATTTACTGAAGGCCGAGAAGAAAATTCAAGTTTAAAACATTCGTTTGGAAACAGCTGTGTGTGCAGTTTTGAAGTGGCCTTTATTTGTAGTCTGCTAGGGAACTTCTGAGAGTCTTTCCAGGTAAGAATTTATTTCTGAAGAAGACTCAACCCGAAACTTAAACTATACAAGATGTAGTCGAGTAAAGTTTCACCTTTGGAATTCTACCACATTTTTTTTATGGTTTAAATAAAAAATGTATGAAAGAAATTCTACTCCCTCTTTCTTTTTTCCAAAGGTTGAAAAATCTTGGATGTCATTTTAAAGTCTTTTATTTGTCTTTTGGATTCCACGATCTGAAAATAGAAAAGTAAGCATTACATTTACAGATTTGTTGTGAAAATAACAAAGTAACAAAATATCAAAATTTTGCCACTGCAAATATCAAAATCGTTTTGCACCCAAATGCAAGTAAAATTCTGAATGCTTTACTTCAATAATATTTAGACCTGTTCAATTGAGTATGTACACTTCAGAGACAATTGTTTGTTAACGTTTGAAGGTCAATAATTTTATTTGTAATTTGAATTAGCACAATGAATTTTTACGTTGAGATTGATAAGTAAAACTATTCTGAATTTTTCGTACATAGTAATTTTACTAGAAATGAGCTTGTGTAAATGTGTACACATTATTTACCTTTCTAAGCAAGAATGTATGGCAGGCAATGGAAGGTAAATAATATACTACATATAAGGAAGGTCTTCCACACATTCATTTATGTATACATTGTTTGCCTTCCACATGTTCTACCACCTTGTAATCAAAAACTTACGATACTTATACAGAAAATTGTGTCTCTTATTTTCTAAATGCAAAATTTGTTACATGACAGAGAGATTTAATAGTATTAAAATGTATGGATGATCTCATTACACTGTAATTTTTTCACATCTTTAAAATTATCTGTAGAAGTGAAATCTTTACTAATGATGGAAGCCAGGTGATTATTATGAAAATGACCTTGTACAGGTAAAAAAAATACATTGTTTAAATTATTGTTATTACTATTACATTTATAATTAATATGCATACAATCACATTCAACACATGGATTAAGTAATTGTGTAAGTTAAAAATTTAAATCTAATAATGTTGCTGTGATAATGATTGACAGTATTATCCATTATATCTTGTGAAAAAGTTTGTATCAAATTCCATATTTTGGTTATCAATGTAATTTTGATTGTAGGAAAATAGATGTCTAGTTAGTATCTTGTATTGGCTGTATATTAAATTTTGATAGTTAAACTTATTATAATATTTTAATAAATTCTAAATCCTATTCGATTAAATTTATTTTTTTGTTTATTTTATTTATTATTAAACCCAATGTTCTTAGCTTTACATCTAAGTTGCCAAGATTTTAAAGGACCTTCACCAACTGCCTGCTCATCAATGAGTTGCTCACACTGAAATACCCGTCCAGCATTTATGTGTGTAGACACACATAAATAAGTAATAAAGAAGGTAAATAGATTGGAGTGCAAGATGGATATTTGTTTCACAAAATTGCCCAATCTTTGGCAACAACTATTCTAATTGTAATATAATTTAATAAGTTATTCAAGTCAAATTGTTGTAAAAACAAGATAAATTAGAATCTTATTTGTATTCTCAAAATGAAAATTAATAGTTCAGTAATGCATTAATTACTTGTAAACACTTGCAGTTAGTATTATTTCTATTTTTGAAAAGATATCTCTGATGTCAAATTATACCTAATGAATCCATAATGTAAAACAAAACATTAAAAATAAAATAAAATAAAGTGATTTCTGTAATTTTAGCACTCAAAAAATGAATCAGCTTGCTAATAAATTTCATAAAATAGATTCAACAAAAGAAAAATTATTTTACTAATTTCACTATGTCAAATAAACATAGTAATAATCAGCTCCATACCCACCAGCCATCGAACTCGACGTTTTACTGTTCCAAAACTAATCTTGTTGTGCTCTTTCAAACATCTACCAAAGCATATCTTGCACATTGTCGCGTAGGAGATAAAATGGACTGGAAAGTGCTGCGGTTGAGTTGACGACGGGATCTTAATGGTCAACCCGGATCACTATCATCAGAAACCTAACCAAATAAGGTAAAAGATAAATCCAAACTTAGAAAAAAATTAATCGGGTCATATAGTCCTCATAAATTCATTTTCCAAAAGCATGGCAAAACATGAAAAACAGGGCGTAGTTCTCACATGATGTATAAGACTTATTCTGTGGTCCATAAAATAAAGTAGCAACATTGTGAACATTACTCTGTTTGGTCAGCATTGTACCAGTATTAACGGCTGCTCCTTCGATATGGTAGCCTGTACACAAACATGGAAAATACATACGAATGATAATCCTATTCGTTCGCCATTTAAGCTACTGAATACATGTGAGCATATTCCTAGACTGCTTAAGTAGCCAATGTGTTTGGACTACCATCCAGAGAATCAACCAAACAATGGATTATGTGATTCCTGAAGAATAAAAGCAGGAATGAACCTACTGAGTTTTATTGTTACCGAGTTCGAACTGGATATAGCAATCAGTAGAAAACAGTACATGGTGCTAAGATGGCTGCTTTTAATCTAACAAGTGTTCTATGGTTACAAGAGATGACCAGTACAGTTTGATCTACCTCAATTATCTTCTTTCCTCTTTTTGCAAGGGGCTTACCATTTCCTCCAGTTCCTACACGGCAGTTATCAGAAAATGCCGGTGGTAAGTTATCCACTCTTGAAATATTCATATCATCTGCTTAAGCGAACTTGTGTACGAAAGTTGCAGAGAGATCAACCACGATATAATCCAAAACAACACTACACAAGCAAGGAACTTCATGCGCACATCAGGTAGCTACCTCTCGAATTTCTCTTTCCATCTGGAGTAGATTTTCTTTTGCGTTTAGAATCATTGATATCAGGAGGTGTACAGGGTAATACCGATTCCATCTGCAAACAAAGAAGGGTCTTAACTCAATACGCACCACACAAGAATGAAATTTTTCATTCTGTACTTAGCACTGCATTGGTGAACATAACAAATTACAGACTAAATACATCAGCAGAAGTAGTCACTAAAGATAGTCGTTCAGCTTGAGAAACAGCTTCAGAAATAAATGTCCAGACACTGACTGGAAACAAATGACACAGAAATGATTCTCCTGGAGGCTGTCAGGCATAGTTTACTTCGTCTTTTGGAGTTACGTTTTCATCTTCTTTACCAGCATCATCGTTGTCTAAAGTTGACTGCATTGACCATTGCAATGAAGTCAAAGACTTATTAGTTGAGGAGCCACGCAAATAACTTCCGGATAATCAACTTCTATGCTACAAAACTTTCAAAAGCTTCAGGACTTTCCGAAAGCAGAACGACCAAAATATTTGGTAAACACAACTGATTACATAGTGTGTAAAAACATTTGTAAAGCGATGTCACCTTCACAATTTTCTTTTTTTGGTATGCCCTGGTGGAACCTGCAAAAATCTCCAACTTCCATTCTTAACGACCATAATATCTATACAAATCAATCAGCTCTGAAGAGTTCGACCAAAAAAGCTGTAAAAGCACAAAAGTGGGTTTAAAATCTTGAACCACTTGTCTTCGTCCACACAATAAGCCAAAACAATTAGTGAGAAAATAAGAATGTTTAGTGACGATGATTATTACAAACCAGAAGCCATTTCAGGAACCTTTAATCCCAAAAACTGTCTTGTTGATTTATCTTAAAATGACGATATTACATACGCAATGAAACACAAGATGGAGAAAAATTCAGGGGCACAACATTTGGTGGAGGTGCTGACTTATTTCCACCAAAGGAGCAGGCGGCTTTACATTTGCACTTTTATTCTGCGCAATACAATGAATACAAAATTAGGTGGACACTTGATGAAAGATCGTGTTGGCATATGACCAAGTGGTTATTCAGAAGTACTTGGTAGACCAAAGTACCTACCTTTTCGCTTGACTTCATAAAGAATGCAGAGAGACTTGATTGCTTCGACCCAGCTCCTATTGTGTTGGCAGTTAAATCTGCTAGGACAGAGGTTGAAAGTATCATGCCACTTGCACTGGTTTTTGGTACTGAAGTTTGTGGCGAGACTGCATGACAGACGATGTAAGTCTCTAAATAATCTTTTCCGTCGGTTGCCGATTACAACATTTGCAAACTTTCTTTTAACTACAACGTGTAAAATGCAGAGGGATCGACAGGGGCTAGATCACCTTCTTACACTAGTTACTGTCATCACTTACCTTCATGTAAACCAAATTAGCCGTGAACTTTAAGCTATTAGTAAATTGCACACAACGCTCATGAAACACACAAGGGCTTCGAATACGGCAGCAACCTGGAAAAAAGCTTAAGGGTATGCTATCATAAACTACATTCCATACACATCTATCCGTCACCATATCTGCCAAATATACACTCTTACAAGTTGAAGCCAAGCAAAAGGTTCAGCAGTTCACAAGAGTCTCACAGCGACAACATAAGAAGTTACATGAAATGAATATGTCACCTGCCAAGTCCATCTGTGATATTTGTGATTCAGGAGCCAAGAAGCCATCTTCTACATCATTGAAAAGTTTATTAACAGTTTTGTCTCGAGGATCCCTAAGTTCAGCATCTGCACGGTCGTGTTCATCACTGCCGTCTGTCTGGTTCTCCTCCGAGGAAGACTCTGCATACCTATTGTTGAAGAGGATGCGACGTGTGATTCAATGTATTTTTGTAAGCAGCATGATCTTATCATAAGAGGAACTGGGGCTCTTACATTGCACGAAAACAAGTTTGAAAGGTCACTCGAACAAGGAATTAGACTTTGTCAAGAAAAGTTTTGAAAATTTACGAGTGTTTCTTCTCAGCTATACGAGCAGATTGTCGGGATGGAGTTGGCGCGTCCCCTAGGTTGACAAAACCTTCCTCGTCTTCATCTGACTCCCATTCACTAGCATTTTTTGGCTTCGTTTTCGCATTACTCTCAAAAGATTTCTCTAAGGTCTTGTTTTCCGAAGGTTTCTTTTGGAAAAGCCACCGGTCCATTTTGAGTTGGCCCTTCGGTGTGCACTGTTTACTGGATTCCAATTCCGATACCTGGACTAGTTCTAATTGCGAGTCTTGGACGTCAACATCATCTTTAATATTTCTAGGCTTGCCAGCTCCACCTGCGAAGTCGTACACAGCATGCCTTTCCTGTTGAAACATTGACATGTGTCAAAAAAATTGTAGAAATTTATTGCAACAAAGACAAACTACGTTACCGAAGAATTGAAATGCACAAAAGCTCTACGAGAATACCAGGAGTTGGATGGGAATGCAGGACATTCTTAGTATTGTGTTAGCATTCAACATGGTCGATTCATTACAAGTATGAGATTACGTTCATTGGAGTATTTAACACTTGCACCAAGTCTCATCAGCTTATTTGAAATCAGAAAAGAAGCTTATGTGGTGTATGTAAGCGGATTTAGATCATTAACTGTTACGTAAGTATTGACTTCCATTGTTTTTCGCCAACTTTAAATGACTAGCATTTTCGCCATTTGGTTTTATCAGTAATTTGCATTGCACAGTTCCTCCAAAAAGAAACGATTTCTGGAAGGATACATCTGGATTGATATGCCAACATACCTGCTGAAAATCCAAAGGCATTTCAAGGCGCAGTTCATCAGGATTCTCTTCCTTCGTCCCGATCCACCACGCGTCCGAAAATACCACCTGTCAGTAAACACGACCTTTTTGAGTTACGTATCAAAAACATCTGGTGCATGGAGCAAACGTAAAAAGTGCCGAAGTAATGATTGTTCATGATCTAATTTGTTTCAAATTAGGCGTATAGTAAAAAATATTGCTTGACAAACCTCAAGATTGGATATAATTTCTAAAATTCATTGCAAGTGTGTAACAGAGAGGTAAGTATTTCAGCAGCACCTACTGATCGATAACCAGAAGAATAATAAAATAGATAAATTACGTAGTGGTATAATGCATGTGGAACTTAGCTACATGTGAATTGTTAACATTGCAATTCATGCCGGAGGATAAGCATTAATATGAAATCAACAAAATCTGCACATTTACTGCGGATGAAAGGATAAAGCTGATCATCGAGCACCAGATTCTCAAAAATATCTTCGCATTGTATGCTTCCTGCCCCACGGACAAAGTTCAAAGTAATATACTTGTTTTTGGAATACACAATGGTGCCGAATAATTTGAGTCGTCCCTGCCATCCAAACAAATACACGGTAACTGATTACCTCTTCCAACTTAAAGAAAAGCATGTAATATTCTCAACAACCACAAGTGAAACCAAAGCCACTCAGAGAGTGAAACAGTCTGCGCAAAAGCTCTACTTGCCTGTAGGAAATCAACGTACAATATTGGATTTTTTGTGTCTAATTGCGTCAGATCACCGAATTTTCCAACAGCTACAGGAGCTACGAGACCAGGAAAAGAGAAAAGGTACTTGTTCTTCCTATGCCCCTTTTTACAAATGTCCTTCCCGTCACATCTTACTATACCTGCAGTCAAATGAAGCAGATACGTTATGGTCAATCTAATACGTTGCAATAACGATCCAACAACACGCTCCAAAAATAGATAGGGATTTTCACTGAACTATTTATCAATTTCACTGATTTCGTGAAAGATTCTCAATCATCTCAGGGATGCATGATTTTATAAACGACAGTAAACTTATAAAAGATATCAGATAAAACTTCCTCATTCTAAAGGCCTCATTAATTCATTAATTCCAATGAATTATCATAAGATCCAACCAGAAAAATCAATATGTCACACCAGAGTGCGGGTGCATTGGCGCATCCGGCACAGCTTTTTTCTCCGACAGCAACCCGGACGTCAAAGCCAGCTCCCGCAGCCTCTTGCTTTCCTTCGCTAATGTCTTCTCCTCCTTTGTCTGGCTCACCTCCTCAACTTTCTTTTTCCCCATCTCTACTAAACCCTAAGCAACTTTCAGCTAATCGATCAAATAAAACTAGTCATACAAGCTTCTCGTAAACCTGACACAACTACAGCCATATAAACCTATGGAAACAGATTCGAGCTTCAAACTTCAAACACTCCCAAACCAAATTACAATCGCATTCCTTACCTGAGATCAAAGCGCTAAGTACAAAACTTCTAAACGAAATAAAAAGCTCTTGACTCGCAAACACCTCTATTATGAATCAGTTTCAGCTATCTCGGTGCAGATCGACAGAAACTGCAGCATCGCAGGATAAGGGTTCGCACTACAAAAAAAACAAACTCAGGGGGGAAATTTGTTTTAAAAAAGTTACATAAAAACTAATGAACTCACAAATTCGACGCAAGGTACTCTGGACTTGACACACAATCAGTCTCCTCGCGCCGCTAGAAAAAACCTCGACGGAAATGGCGCCAACGGTATTTCGTTCACACCTTCGAGCTTATGAATTCAAATTCATGGTTGAGTTTCTTTTCTGACCTGGACTCCGACGTGGCTCGTTAGGTTCCATCCTTGATTCTTCAGAAAAAATTAGCTCTGAAGGAACATTCATGGTTCTTGCAGAGTCGTTAAGTGCTTCAATTGACAAGATGAATCACACAGATGGGATAATAATTTGAAGGATTTACTTGAGAAGGAAATTGTAGATATGTTATCAAAACATTGATCATATAATTACAAGAAGGATCATAATCTCCATTTTCATCTATGTCAAATAAAATTGATAATATTGTGTGATTTATTAATTATCACTTAAATAAAAAATTCATTTGACATTCAAAGTTACTATCATGAGTATTAATATTAATAATATTTTCTTTTCAAATAAATCCTTATAATGTATCTATATTTTCCTAATACATATATATTGATAATATATCTACTATTTCTCAATAAATATCATGTATGTCTACCTTCAATATCTTAAAAAATAATTCCAAAACCTAGATATAAATTGGATTTTTATTTAATATAATATTCTTTAATAGTCTACGATTGCAACAAATATTACCAAAAAATATTTTGGCTATTTCTTTACTTATAAGAAGTTTTGTATATAGTATAAAATGTGCTATTTTAATGAAGCAATCTATTATTAAAAAAAATATAGAATCATAAGAGCTTGAGATTAGAAGATTAATGATAAAGTCTATAAAAACCATTTATTTTGATTTTTTTGGTATAGGTAATAATAAAAAAATTATTAATAGCAAAATTAATTTCAAAGTCTTATTATAACCAAAATATCTTCTAATTGGAAATTTTTTTAAAGTTTAAAAAACATATAATTATACTTCACCTTGTAGAACATTAAGCCTTTCTTAAAATTTAGAAGATTGTTGTTAAATTTAGACTTAAAAATATCATAAAATTTAGAAAAAAAAAAAAAATCTTAATATTATACATAAGAAGATTTGAAAAAATACTTAATTGAACTTGTTTACAAAATATTGATTTTATTACTAAATGATGGACTTACTCTAGCTTCAAAAGAACAATTTATTATCCATAAAAAGTTGCATCTCCTTCTTTTGGTGCAAAATAAGAATGTCTAGAAATGACATCTAAGAAACCTTATTTTTTTCTTGAGCAATATCAAATATTAAATACAAATCTTGATAAAAATATGCTTCAATAAGTTTAGCAACAATTTAAAATACATGTTGCTATAAAATATTTGAGATTCTTGTGATTTGTATAAATTATCATTGAACTAGAAGTGCCTTCTAGAAAATGGTTTAAACTTTCAAATGAATCCACAATTTAAAGAAGCTTTTTGTTGTAGAACTTGTGATTAATCTTGGTTGCTGAAATATTTTTAGAATAAAAAGATATATAGAAAAGTTTATCTTTTGATTCTATTTGTAACAATACCATACCAAAATCAAAGTTTGGTGCATTTGTTTCTATAAAAAAATGCTTTAAAAAAATCAATGTAATATAAGATAAAGATTATAGTAAAAGTTGTCTTAAAAAGCTTCAAATACTACTTCAACTTCTTTGTTTTATTCAAGTTTGTCTTTAAAAGTCAAATATGTAAGTAAAGCTGCAACTTGAAAAAAGTTCTTCATAAAAATCAAATAGTAATTGACAAATCTCAAAAATATTGTATGTCTTTGATTATTCTTAAAATCTAATAATCTATGATATTATGAATGTTCTTAAGATCTATAATAAGACTATTATTTGAGATAATAAATCCTAAGTCAACTTAAATTGTATAAAATACATTCTTCTCTATATTAGCATATAATATTATATCTCTAAGTTTCTGTAACATACAATAAACATAAATTTTATGTTCTTTTGTATTTTTAAAGTAGATTAATAAATTATCTATATGCTAAGGAAAAAAATCACCTAAAAATTCTTTAAAAATATTAATTATTAGATGTTTAAAAGTAGTTGGCATATTTGAGAATTCAAAAGATATGACATTATATTCAAAATACCATATTTGATTCAAAGTGTAGTCTTCAATTTATTTCTTTTATTAATATGTACCAACTTATTGTCACGGACACAAAATACAGACTTGAAATCTAACAAGAAGTTCAAGAAGAAGTGGCAGAACTAGATTAAACAGATGAGTACAAGAACAACACCAGAAAGGTGAGCTAGAACTCCAAGAGATGTGTTGTCGAGACTGAAGAACCCTTCAGCCTCGACTCCTATATATACTACTGAATAGGAAGCTTCTCGAGCTACTTCCGCTAACTAGGACGCTTCTCCAACAACTTCTACTAATTAGGAAACTTCTCGAGCAACTTCCTAGAATCTATCAGAATATTCTAGAACCTTCTAAAAGAATCTTTAGGGAATATTCTAAGAATCTTCTAGAACCTTCTAAAGGAATCTTTAGAGAATCTTTAGAGAATATTCTAGAAGAATATTCGAAGAATCTTCCAATGTATGTCCATGACATCACCTCCTCTTCTAACTTCGAGGTCTCCGAGAAGCAATGTTGTTATCAGTCAATACCAACGCAAGAAAATGAAAATCTGTCGCATCACATCTGCTATGAATTCCAATTTGTTATTCGCGAGGCAAATGATTCATCGGCCCTTGGAGCCAACGGTAGTGACCAACACCTTCAACCTCTGACCAAGCGTGGACTTCTGTGTCTTCATTGTGAAACTGTCCTCCAAACACACCTTCTGGCTGACCGTCGTAGGCAGGCTCGACCTCAAATACAAATACTAGCGATCTGTTGTTCGGTATCCTCCGACGTCGTCGTGGTGCACGCGGTTTTTCATCTCGCGGTCGTCTTCGTGAGCTAGTCGCTTGAGATGACGTAACAAGTGTAGTATCTTGACTATCCATGTCCAAAGGCTAAAATGATGAGAGCAAACTATAGTTGCTAACAAAGTTCTACACTATCGAACTATGGGTTTTGGAGGTGCCCTCCCCCCTTTTTATGCTACTTGATGAGCAAGCTTCAGCAAGAAGCTATCGTTGAATCGGCTTAGGTTTATGAGGATATCGTTGATGAAATTCTTATACCTTTTTTGGCGCATTGGCAAGATTTTCGACACGCTCCCATGTTCGTTCATTGATGTCGTATCCACTCCAATGCACTAAATACTCCAATTTTCTCCTATTATGCCGTGAATCTAGTACCTTTTCCACCTCGTATTCCTCATGGTTTTCAATTTCGATACTTGGTGGCGGACTTTGTACTCTTTGGGGCAAAGCTGACTCTCGATAAGGTTCCAACAAAGACACATGAAAGACTGGATGTACCTTCATAGTAGCTGGTAACTCCAGACGATATGCCACCGGATTGATCTGCTTCTCGATAACAAATGGCCCTAATCTCCGATAGTCCAATTTGTCACATGGCCGCTTGGTCTTGATATTCCGTCGAAGAAGCCATACTTTACTTCGAACTTTAAAAGTAGGCGCCTCATTTCGATATTTATCTGCAGATGCCTTGTAACTCTCTTGGGCAGATTGCAATTGAAGCTTCAACGTCGCTTGAAGCTCCGATAGTTGCTTCACAAATCCTTCAGCTGCTGGGTTGTTATTTGCTGAAGAACTCAATAAATCGAGCTTGGGGTGGTATCCGTAGTTGGAGAAGAATGGTGTTTGTTGAGTTGACGCATGAAGAGTGTTGTTGTATGCGAACTCAGCAAGTGGTAGATATGCAGTCCAATCATCTTGTTGATAGTTGATGCTGCATCGTAAATATTGCTCCAAAACTTGATTCACCCGCTCCGTTTGACCGTCAATTTGAGGATGAAAAGCCGAAGAGAGCTTAATATCCACCTTCAATATCTCAAAGAGGGACCTCCAAAACTTGGATACAAACTGAGTACCTCGATCCGACACGATATCATCTGGTAGGCCATGATAACGATATATGTTATCAAGAAAGAGTCTTGCGGTGTCTTCACTTGACGATGTTTTCTTGCAAGGCACGAAATGCGCCATCTTTGTAAATCGATCCACCACAACAAAGATGTTGTCAAATGAATTCGATGGCGGTAGGTCCGTAATGAAGTCCATAGAAACTGAAGACCATGGTCGGTGCGGAATAGGCAATGGCTGGAGAAGTCCATACGGACGATGTCGAGGGATCTTGGATCTTGAACAAACATCACAAGAAAGGACAAATTCCTTCACATCCTTCCACATTTGGGGCCACCAAAAATCTCGTGAAATGAGCTCCAAAGTCTTGTTGAATCCAAAATGTCTCGCAGCTGGAAAGTCATGGCGAGATTGAAGTACTCGGAGTCGAGTTGGTCCTTTCGGGATATACAACCGCTCCTCAAAATACAGAAGATCTCCCTCCACCTTAAACTTGTCATTATCGACACGTTGTCTGATGTCAAGAGCTATAGAATCCTCAATGGTCACAGTACGTACCTCGCTGAGGAAGCCGTCATCGATAGTTGCAACAGTAGCAAAAATCCTGAATTTTTCTGGTTTCAACAATGTTGTACATTGTTGATCAAACGCTGCTTCTCCAGCCTTTGGCGCAAGATACGATCTCCTCGATAATGCGTCAGATAATCCTTGCTGTTTTTCAGGGCGGTAGGTGATAATAAAGTCAAATCGTGATAGAGACATATTCCATCGAGCTTGACGACGATTCAAAATTCGAGCTGTCATGAAGTACTCCAAATTCTTGTGGTCCGTATAAACAGTCACTGGATGTGCAGCTCCTTCGAGGAAGTGACGCCACTCTTGGAAGGCATCCACTATAGCAAGCAGCTCTTTGTCGTGGATCTCGTAGTTGATCTCAGCAACAGAGAACTTCCGTGAATAGAACGCAATTGGGTGAAGCTTCTTGTCTATGCCCATCTGTGAAAGCACAGCTCCCAAAGCAAAATCTGAAGCATCGGTCTCTAAATAGAAAGCCTTTGCAAAGTCAGGGTGTACCAAGATTGGAGCCGTAGTGAATGCCGTCTTGAGATCTTGA